CCGCTAGAGCCTATTACCGGTTTTTTTTTGAAGAGATTAGGCGGATTAGAGGAATTGAGAGCTCTTGGGAGTTCGCTTTCTAGCCCGCTCTCAATTTCGCCTATTTTTAGAATCGAAAGCGTTAAAAACACTTTTTTTCTATTGGTCGCAAATTTTAAAAATACGAACATTTCTTAAGAACGCTTCCGGGAATAGCTTATTTCCGGTTTTAAAATCTTGCTTTTTAGAATCGCGAAAGTAGGAATTTCTGTAGTCTCTGCAGGAATGCCAGAACAACAGAATTTTGGTGCTTCTGTAATTCTTCTGAGTTTTTTACTGGAATTCGGTATGCTTTTTGATTCCATTAGCGTATATATGGGTCGAAGCCCGGGGGCGCCGCCAGAGGCGCCTCCCGAGGCACCCCCTGGGGGCGTGCCGAGTGGCGCCTGTGGCGGCGCCTGGGGCTGACCAAAAGGCGCCGGAAAACCGAGATGCAAAGCAAAAATGCGGTGTTATTATGGAAATGAGATTTGACTGCTGATCCTTAATATCAAAGAAGGCAAAAACTATTAGTTGATTGGCCTATAATTTTTCCCTGATCCTTTCGCATTGTAGAGGAAGGGGATGTTTATGGGGGACCAACTTTTTTATAAGGACCTTGTTTTCTAAAAGAAATAGTGGAAGTTTTCGAAACTGTTGTTATTCTTCTTAAACGTAAAAACTTTACCAACTGCGACTGAAATACAAAAAAATATAGATTTTACTGCCAAAAATGCCCGATTTTCCAATCTCACTTTCAATTTCGAAAATTCCATCTAAAATTCCTTCCAATTTTTTATTTTTTCCACTTAAAGTTAGTTCAATTTTACTAAAAACATTACCAAAAAAAGGCTGACGATTGCGATACTAGGCTTTCCTGAAGTGCAAGAGAAAAGTAATTTGCAGGTTACTCTCTACTGTCCGTTGCTCTTGCGCTTGAAATGAATAATTAACATTAGAATCGAAGATTTGCATAATCTAACAGGCGCCGTTGGTGACGCCCCCCGCCCCGTTAAAAATCATAGGGGCGGCGCCCCCAGGCGCCACTCGGCACGCCCCCCAGGGGGTGCCTCGGAGGCGCCTTTGGCTGCGCCCCCGGGCTTCGACCCATATATACATTAGCGTACATTTGACGTGTGACGTAGTGCGTAACCTAGAGCATCTCGTAGTCTTAAAACGACTGCGACGTGACGCGACATATTCTAGAGAGACCGCGCGTTGCGTGCCGCGGGCGTGCTTAGACATGCATTGCCAATCCTATTAAACTAACTTAATGGATCGTTATCCACTTATCCTTAAGCTTTCAATTAACATGCAAAAATACTGTTCTACCTTAAATATAAGTGTAACCCGTTCGAAATGTGTATTCTGGTGTACTTTTTGCATTCTTTGAAAACCCTCATCTCATTTTCGCATGAAACCCGCCTGTACTTAGAATATTTACAGGATTAGTCCCAAAGCGATGCACCCCGGAAATCTGTAAATTCCGTTCCCGTCGGGTATACGACATGTTTTTGCGATTTACTAGATTCACGAGGTACATTCTGGATTCTCTAGGGCCCCGGCTGGCTGGTGGCGGATGCACCAGGATTTGTATGCTGGCGGCGGTGGCCGGCGGGTGCTAGATGAATTCCTGCTCTGCAGAATTTATGAGTCTTTTTGGGGCTGTGTCGTTTTTGCTAGACAAAGATCTGGTCTTTCGAATTGTTGCTCGTAAATAATTTTTGACATTATTTATTGGCCGAGTTTTAGCAAGTGCACGCCGGGAAAAAATTAATAATTTTAAGAAGTTCCCTAAAAAAAGCTCTTAGGAAAAATTTCCATTAGATCGCTTTTTCGCAAAACTCCAGATTTCCTCGTATTTTTTAATCAAAACTTTCAAATAATCCGATAATTTAGCTAATTTATGTGTTTGTCTGCTAAATTGTGTCGTATTCATGGAAGCCTCGCCCATTTAGCCCTCTTGCCTACGCCTTCGTTTTTCTGGATCGATTTTCAATCTTTCCGAAACTCTGATTTTTGACGTTTCGCCTCGACCAAGCATCGGTCGCTGAAAAAATGGCGATTTCGCTAGCATCGGCCAGCTCTGCAAACGCCGGCCAGGTCGAAATGGGCCTAAAATCAGTCGCCTGTCAGGCGGGGCAAGGTTTAATTTAGCAAAAGCTAGTTTTCCAACGTATTAACGTGGCCAGTAGTACGAAGTGCAACCTCAACGAGCATGTAACTAGGTATATCCACACATTTAAATCAGCAAATTTTTGGTTTTGACCCTATCAAATCTGTCTTCTATTACCATTGCTAAAATTGGCCTGGTTGTCAAGTTATTTACCACTGTTTTTGAATGTACATGATTGGTGTCGGTTAAACACCAGTTTCCTCCGCCCACGCCTTCAGAGCATCGAACCAAAATGCCTTCGAAGATTTTTCACAACCCCCAATTTTGAGTCTTTACAGGGCATTAGGAAATTTGGAAATTGACTCCATATAGCCGAAAAAGACAAATTTCCCATGTTCCAAGGCGTTAGCGTAATCAAATTCTTTCTAGCAGCTCTCAATAAATAGACATTTTTCCTTTCGTGCGCGATCATCTCTTTTCCACGTTTTTTGCTCGTTTGTGACGTTTTGGATTCTGCTCTCAACCAGTTCCCCGATTTTTCGATCTCTCTCAATCACCTATCCCAATCCCAAAAGTTCAACACTGCTGATGGATTTGCAAAAAAGGCGAAGATTTAGTCCAAAAGACTTCTTCCCTTTCGAGTATTTTTGTGAAAAATGCTCAGAAAGGAATTTTCTCGAATTTCGATCGTTCATCTAATTTCTCGTGCTTTTTTCGTTCTAGTGCTCCTTCTTATTTTCGCTTACGTTTTCTTTCTCATATGGCATTTGAACACATAAATTTAATATATTTTTTCAGGTTCAAAACTGGCGGTGGGCAATGCTATGGAACCCACGCCGTTGAGCATCGGCACCAACGGGTTGACGTTGCCGGTGGCTCGGATACGACAGCTCATTTTTGGATCTAAAATATTTTTGAGGAAGCATCCAGGGAGGACAATAAAGGAGGTGAGCTTCTTTTCCTGAAATTCCAAAACTAGGTGCTTTCCAACGAGAGAAAGCGCGAGTGATATAGAGACAGAAAATATAGCAAATTATTTATAAAAATTTCAGCTCGTTCCAAATGAAGCTGCACAAAGCTCGATGGGCTTCATCTCTCAAATATCACGACTTATCGCCCGATTGGACGATGGGAGTAGGATACCGATTATTGTTAAGGTAAGCGGATAGGGAGCGAGAGAGAGAGTGTGTGTAGAGAGACAGACATATCGAACTATCTTCAGATCCCTGAACTTCACACCATTACCCATTCCATGGTTCTAATGTGCGGCGAGAAAGTTAGATATTTTATGAGGGAAAATGGGGTTGGTTACAATTTGTCTAACCTAAAATTACCTTGCATTTTAGAGCGACCACCTCTATCGATTTATCGCCGAATATTTTAATCGCGAGTGCGCCTTTTACGAGATTCTAGAGGACTGGCCAGAAGTTAAAGTAAGTTAAATTAGAGACATTTCACTGCAATTTCCAGAAAGCAACTGCTTACGCCATTGAGAAATGGGAATACGGGAAAATCGGGGCCTGTGGAGCTGTAATAATGCGGGATTTATCTTCAGAAGCGGAGCCGAGCGATATTTATAACGGGTTAAATAATTCTCAGGTAAGAAATTCTCACAGTGTAATGCATCCGGTTTTTGTTGTGAATTTTACGTTTCTGAATAGCACTGTAGAGCCCAATTCACCGTCATGTATTGGCAATTTTCAGCTCCTCCAAATCATCTCCCAAATCGCGTGGATCCAGGTCTACGGGTTTGCTGGGAAGCCGATTCCCGAAATACGGGTTTCTGACGGGTCAGTTTCCATAGAAATTTTGAAGCTGGTAGCGTTGTTAGAACGTTCTTAGAAAGAACGTGGATCCAGGGCCCGATTTGCCCAGAAAAATTTCCGTTGAACTTTAAAATCCATTGAAGTTAATGTCAATGTCCCTTTAGAAATTTTTTGTAAGCCCCTCTTAATTAGGAATTCGCTAGATTCGAGCGGAGAACGCTGAAAGTGTGAGAACCGTTACTTTAAAAGGGTCTTAAAGTCATTACCGTAATAAATCCTCTATTACCATCCCTTTAATCCTTTCCTTTTTGCCAAACTCTAATCGACGAAATATGTACGAAATTGCATCCCGAAGCCTATTCAAAATGCCTTTTTGGCAACCTCCAATCTAAGAAAATTTATATTCATCAGCTTCCCGGGGATTTAGGGGCTTAAATATGTTCAAGACGGCCCGTTTGGACATCGTTTTTTAGGTACATGCAAATTTTTTACCAAATGGAGGAGCCAGCAAGCACCTGGACCACGCTACACCCCAGGATGACGGAAATGTTCGAGAAAATGCGTCACCTTTATAAGAGCCGCGAGTTCTGGGACTACGTACTGCGGATAGCGCACAGGAAATTGGGTTTGTCGTGATTCAGAAGTCCCAAGAACCAAGCGAATTTTCAGAAATCCCCGACGTGACTTGCCATGGCGACATGTGGACCTATAATTTCCTGTGGAGTCGAGGGGAACAGAATGGCCAGGGCAGGGAATTATCCGCCCTGCTGGACTGGCAGAATGTGCACCACGGCGGGTTTTGGAGATGCAAATAATCAAAACTAAAATAAAAAATTTGACCAAAAAGATATCTGAATTTGGCGGTCGGAATTTCGCAAGTCTCTGCTAGCCGTCCTTTAGATAAATCGTAAGTTTATTTCAGGAAATCCAGCCGAAGACATTTGCCATTTATTCGTATTCTGTTGCGATACGGAAATGAGGCGAAAAGTGGAAAAGGAGATGCTGCCTATTTTGCATCAGATGGTCGAGGAACGGTGTATCCAGATGCGGATACCAGTGCCGTATACGTTAGAGCAGGTGGGAGAGAGAGTGAGAGAGAGGCGGAGCGAGCGAGAGATTGAGACAGAGAAAGCGAGAAAGAGCGAGATCGAGCGAAAGAGAAAAGTGTGAGAGAGAATGAGTGAGTCAAGAGAGAGAGAGAGAGAGAGAGAGGGAGAGAGGGAGAGAGGAGAGAGGCGAGCGAGAGAAGAAAGGGAGGAAGTGAGCGATGAGAGAGAGAGAGAGAGAGAGAGAGAGAGAGAGAGTGGAAGTGAGACATTGAAAATCATACAATATTCATTTTTTTTAGCTCCAGGCCGCCTACCGTATCCAACTCGTCGCCCAGACTACCCATTTTGTGTTCATCGGTCGGGTGATGGACACCATGGACGGCTTATCCCCAGAAGAGGAAAAACACCGAATTCTGGCCGAGCGGGTGTACGGTGCATTGGAAGATAACGTTCAAATGCTCGCCGAATGTCTACCTCAATTCGTATCACAAAATAAGGCTTAAAATTGACAAAATTATTCATTATAATTACTTCTAAAGTTAAATTAATATTTTCCGTTTAACCTACTCTTTATCCGAACCCGAAAATGTTCAAAATTTTATTTTTATTGCGTATTAATGACATCCGCAATATATCAGGTATTTCATGATGCTTCAGTTTTATATTTTTTATGTATCTCTGTCCCCCTATCTTTCCTCCCCAATTCCAGCTTTGGTCCAAAAACTGCCCGGGTGCCGCTCCTGTCTCTTGGATTGTGACTTTTTATCTATACCTTTCTGGTTGTTGTGTTTGCGTTCGACATGTTCAAAGTGCGGATAATTAAATAAAATTTATACATCCCAACGTTTGTTCATGGTTGAGCAGAAGTAATCGATGGTTTTTCGATGAGAGTCGCGTTTCGGACTTCGGAAATTGCTTTTCGGATTCGTTTGTAGCCGCACGTATTGCAGATGACGGGCTGGGACTGTAAAAAATTAAAATAAACTCATTTTAACGCATAGAATTTTGATAAATCGGTAGGGAAAGAAAACGCTTTCATGACGTAACCGATTAGGGAAGATTGGGTCCGCTAAATTACCATTAATGTGTATATAAAACGTGGCTTAATAAGATTAAAGACATGATCATCAATTCTTGGCTACCATTCTCTCCGGATGCTGTAGAGACCAGGTCACGCCGCGCGACTTTCCGTTGCAGAATAAACTATGGCGGTACCGCGGGGCAGAAAATAAATACAGAAGAACAAAAAATACAGAATATCCTGAGACAACAAACTTTAGTGCAGTACCTTGCACGTCCCTTTAAAAAAAACGCTCGAATGTACAACGCTCGACTATCTTTTTTTGGTTTTATCAGCTGCTCTATTAATGCACGGAGGTATATATTACAAAGCGGCTATTAAACTTTAGAATTACCTGCTGACACGCCAAACACGGTGGTGGTGCGATTGGTTGAGGTGCCTGGTAGCAGGTATTGCAGGTT